ACTAAACTAAAATAATAAATTAATAAGTAAACAATTTTTTTTTTATTAAATAAAATTTCGAAAACTAGGAAATTATAATTTTTTTTTTTTTTTTTCGCTCTGATTCGAACGCAACAATTAATTCGTATTATATATTTATATCCCTCTCTGCTCTGCTTAAAGCGGTTTTTGAGGTAAATGAAAGAAAAGGCTAATGCCCGCCCCCCCCCGAAAAAAAAAGAATTATTATTATTTCCCTCCTCCCCGTTTCGTCGTCGTACTTCGTTTGACAATCAGATTTTGTTATTTATTTATTTAGATTCTTTTAAAAAAAAAAAAATTACGTAATGAATTGTTAAAAACGGATTACGTTGACCATCTTTTTTTTTTTTTTTTTACTTAACTTTCCTCTTCCCTCCCCCTACCCCGCCCCCCTCCTTCTCCCGCCTCTTTAAAAACAAGCCGACGACATGTTTGAATATATATATATACCTACGTGTACAAATACATACTTATACGAGAGTGTTAATATATTTTATATAATCAATTAACATTTTCTGACTTGATATCCTTGCGAGTGCTAATATAAATTTTTTTTTTTTTCCAGTTTTTCGATAAAAAAAACATTCCGTCGTTTTTTTTTTTTTTCGGTATTAAGTAACAAATCCTGTACGGTCGAAACGGGTTAGGTTCATACCTTAGTTTACTCGTTCAGCAAATAAAAAAAAAAAAGGGTGGGAAAAAGTAATGATAAAGAATTTTTGCTTTACCTGACTGAGAGTCAATGTGACTTTATCATCCCTCAACCTTGCAATCATCATTGATGCAACTGCCAAAATAAAATCCCCCGCCATTGTGACCTGTCGATAAAAAAAAAAAAAAAAAAAAAATTAAATTAATGATAATAATAATGAAATTGTAAACGGTTTACAAGGGGAAATGTTATAATGACGTATTCGAATCATCGCGATGATGATGATGACGTTTCGAAATATTATTTAATAACAATTGACAAAAAAAAAAAAAAAAAGGAAAAATTATTATTTTAACACCAATTTAAAACTCATTATAATCACACAACTATCATACCTACTTTTTAAAAAATATGTAAATAATTCAAGGGTAAATTTCTCTCTCTCTCTCTCTCTTTTCTCTTAACAGGTAGTTAAAAATATCACACTTAAATACTTTTTTCGCATTATTTTAAAGGTAAACCTTAGCGCAAAAAAAAAAAAAATTACGAAAGTAGGCGAGATTAAGGATTAAGAGTCAAAAGTTTTAATTTTTTCATTATAATGGTCGTTTATAAATTATCATAATAAACGCCATTATCATAAAAAACGCGAAGGATAATTTTTAAAGGTCATTAATAAAAATGACAACAACAAAAACAAAAAAAAAACTTCGTCCGTGACAAAAAATAAAACGCGTGTCTTTTTTAATTTTTAAAAAAAATTTTCCTTGCAAGTTTTCGCGAGAAACGAGTAAAAAATAATAATAATAATAATAATAATAAAACTGGAAATTAAAATTCAATGATCGTTTATCACACATTTAAATACAAAACAGACGCGTTAAAATAATTTTCCGAGAATAAAGAAAAAAAAGAAAAAAAAAAAAAAAAAAACCTCGTTTCGCGTAATAATCTCGTTGTATCTTAAAAGTATTGTCTGGATTTATTATCATTATTATTATTATCATCGCTATTGTTAATAAAAAAAAAAAAACGTCGGTTATTAACGCTCGGTATAAAATTACGTCCTTCCATAGTATCAAAATATTTTTTAAAAAAAATTTTTTTTTTCTTCTAAAATGCCATTTAAGTTGCGAAAGGTACGAAACGACCCTCAATGATGAGGGTCGTACCTTATTTTTTTTTAAAATTTACGCGCGTTATTATAAAGATTATCTTAATGAGTGTTTGTGCGTATTTTTTGCGTAAATTATTAAATTTTGGGCAAAACAAAATACAAAGCGAAGGATATCATCGTCCTTGTCCGACCTTGTAATCTCCACACTTAGCAAAAGCTTTCTTTTTACACATTTCACGTAGTCCTCCTCTTTTCTACCCCCTCAGACCACCAAACCCATTCGTAAATGCGTGTGTGTGTGTGTGTGTGTGTGTTTTACCACATATACGAGAGTAAATGGACGGTAATGAAAACATGAGAGAGAGAGAGAGAGAGAAAAAACCGATTACGTAACGAAACATCTCCGGTAATTTGATGGGATGGGATAAAGCTAAAGGTCCTAAATTGTGAAGTCGTGAGAATGCCGCCGTCTATACGAGGTCTAGGCCCTGTGGAGAGAGAGAGAGAGAGAGATGTGAGATGATGTCCAGAATAATCAGCCAAGGCCGCTTTCACAATCCTGTTTTCGTGTTTATCATTCTTTTGTTTTAACATTTACATAATTACTATTTACAGAGGGAAAACAATTTTTTCTTTTCACCTCTCTCATCTTTCCTTCCTCAACTCTCTCGTGTGTATATCTCTTGATAATTTGATAATGAATTATTGCCTGAAAACAATTTTTGTCCTTTTTTCCACCTCCATGTTCACCGCGTTTGATTTTTCCCTAAGAGAAATATTTTATAAAAATCATGCTAACAATTAATGTAATGATTGAGGCGTCAAAAAGGGAAAATTCGTCGATAAGGCATTTATAAAATTTTCCTTTTGCGTCATAATGAGAAAATTTTTTTTTTTTTTCTTTTCAAACTCGGTCAACTCGGTAAAATGATTTGCAATTATTGCAACGACCGTGAAAATACGGTCTGATTATATTTAGCTTTACCAATTATTCTTTCTCTTTTCACCTCATTTCTCTTTCTCTCTCTCTCTCTCTCTGTCTCTCTCTTTTAAATTTTTTCAAACAGGTTGTCAAAGTTCTTTCAACAATTGTTTTCATATTATCATTCATGTAATTGATATCTTTTTTTTCTTTCAAATTAATTCCACATCTCTTTTTAAAATGATATTTTTATTAGTTTTATTTTTATAGAGGACTAGTTTCTTCTTACAATTCTTGTCGAAATCTGTGGAAATTCCATCTTGATGAGTTTCCACATGCCTTTTCCTTAAAAATGAGCGACCTTTTTAAATTTTCCTACAGCCATTCCTCCAAGACATTCCATTTTTCCTTTTTTGTTTCGTTGCGATCGATTTCGTACGAATATTTTCGATATTGTCTCGCACGCGACATTTTCTTTTCTCTCTCTCTCTTTTTCTTTTAGATCATCTCGAAACGAGGAAGTGTTAAAAAAAAACTTGATGTCCTTTACGTTATTTTGATTTTTACGCAAACAAAAACCATATTTTTTTTTTTTTTAAGTTTAAAAACCAGAAAAAATAAAAAAAATAAAAAAATTTATAACTCGTTAACGTTCGATGACAATCTGACAACCTAACAAAAAAAAAAAATGAAAAACTAAAAATGTATTAAAAATTATTAATAATTTAAAATTTTAAAAAAATCTCCGATCATTTTCAAATCATTAATTGATTTTCTTTCACGGTCGTGATTTTAATAATAATAATAATTAATAATTTTTTAAGGTTAAAATAGTTTCGATTGACATTAACGCGTATTAATAATGATTTTTTAAACGGATTTAAAAAAAAAAAAAAACGTTAGAATTTAAATTATCTACGTCATCAAAATACTTTATCCCATAGACTAATTCGACTAAAATTCAACTAAAACGTATTCGAGGGCTTAATCTACCCTGTTGACAAATCCGTCTTTTAAAAAAATTTTTAATAAAGAACGCGGGTGGATTAGAACCTGTAGGTAGGGTCGGTTCGAAAGTTACGAAAAAAGGTGGTAATGGTTTTTCACCCCCGGGGGTGTTTTTTTTTTTTTTTTGCGAAAGACATCATTGTAATCCCCAAACAAAAAACTTGTGGCTGATCCTTTACACGAATACACTCAACTTTTATTTTATGTAAAAAATGAAAACCATTCAGTATTAAATCTCGAAAAGAAAGTATTCAACGATTGTTATTGTACTTTTTTTTTTTAAATTTATTGTTGGTAGCACTGAAACCAGTTTGACTCGATGCAGGTGGTAGACGTAAATCAAAAAAAAAAAAAAACAATAGCGATGTCTAGCAGCGCAAAGTTTTATTTACACTTTAATTTAAATTCGAATTCGCAAGGGTAGACAAATTTGAAAAAAAAAAGGCGCGATTTTATTACTGTAATAAATCCGATAGTGATATCAATTAAATTTTCCGTAAGTTTGAATCGCGAATCGAAATCAAATCCGTTACGTTTTGTTATCTCATATATTTTCCCTCGAGGTTTTTTTTTTTTAGTTTCCTGTTTCGTACCTTACGAAAATTAAAAAAAAATTTCTTCCATGTTTTTCCCTTCACTTTTTCCAACGGAATCATCTCTCTATCTCTCTCTCTCTTTCATAAACGTTTTTTAATTAACGTAAAAATTTTTCACCTTTTTTTTTTTTTTTTAAAATTTCAAAGTCCAAGGAAACGTGGCACCGTAAAAAATTGTTAAGGTGAATGATTTCACTTATTTCTAATTACGCGCGATACCCACGTGACTGTTTCTGCCACGACTCTTTCGTTTTTCGACAAAATAAAAATAAAATCTTTAAATATTTAAACAAAAACAAATATTTGTTGATATTAAACGAAAAAAATTAGTACCTCTCGCGATTTTTTAAATAAACATTTGATACCTGACTAGACGCGACAAAAACGATAGAAAATTTTTTTTTTTTAATTCAATGACGACAGGTCGTACTTAATACTTGTTACACGTCCGACATTTTATCATAATCATCATTATTATTTTTTCCATTATATATACATATATATATAATTTATTATCAAAGGATAAACCGATAAAGTCCGTCACGATCCACATCACTACATGATCCATTCAAATCCATTTTTAATCCACAATAATTCTTTCCTTAATCCATTTGTACGTATTACGACGTTTTAAAAATTCTTTTTAAACGACAAGATGGTGAGAGAGAGAGAGAGAGAGTCGCGCCTAATAAAAAAAGAAGTAGCAGACATTTTTTTTGTACAACAAACAATAAGTACGAATACAACAACCGGGTTTATTTCGGTTGTTACACCTGTAACGAGAGAGACGACATTTAAATCTAAAAAAGTAAATTAATTTAAAAATCCGGAAAATTACGTTTAGGAAAATGGTACTAAGTTAGAAAGTCAGTTTTTTTTACCATAAACATCATCATTATTATCTTAATATTATTATCGTAATAGTCGAAAGAGTTCAAAAAACCTCCGAGTAAAATCCTTGAATTTATTTATTTACATTTATAAACAATTTAATTAAAGTTATACTCTATAAATAGTACTATATAGTGAATAATAATAATAATAATTTTTTTTTATTCTTTTCGCAAATGATTTTCGCGGTAAATTTAAACGTTTTCCACAACGGGGGGGGGGACGGAAATCCGTGAAAAAATAATAAAAATATTTGTCGGTTTAAAACGCGAATAGGGGGGGGGAGAAGGAAAAACAGAAATAAATCCGTGAAAGAAATTGAAAAAAAAAAAAAAAAAGAATTTCACTTCCTGGTTTTTATTTTAAGGTATATTATTATTATTATTATTATCATTACCCTAAAGCGCGTGCGCTTTGCACTATGTCAGACGCTTAAATAACATTCAAACCGTGTACACACAAACACACTTACGAGGTAGTAATAAATCATATTTAAAAACTTACAGGTAATAAATTTTGATTATTATTATTATTATTACTGCTATTATTATCGCGCGAAGAATAAAATTCCCTATAAAAAATTAAATAATAATAATAATAATAATAAAGGGGAAAAGAAAAAAAATTTTTTA